GTATTGATGTCGGTAAGAAGGCGGTGGCTGAATCCGACAAGGTGCTAAGTGCGGACATTGTGACCGAGTGGGACTTAGAGCTGAATGCCACACTAACACTGCGCTGGGTCATCGACAGAGTAGAAAATGGCATCTATACCGTCGATGAGCTGCGCATCTTTCTTTTGGAAAAAAATGGAGAAGCATCGCCTCAACCCTGAGATTAAGAATGCCCATATCCCAGCAGACCAAGATGAACGGGATTTTGCCGACCGACTTCTAAAGCAGAAGGAAAGTCGGATGCTGGAGTTGGATATGGTGCCTTTGTCAGAGGAACGTAGAGCCAAAATTCTTCGGGCGTTCGTTCATATGGTCCTTGAGGTAGAAAAGGCCAAAAAAACCCGACCTGGCGAACATATGTGTTGAGGCGATTGCTGAGGCGTTCGTCATTGAGACTCTGGAAAACTTATCTGACGAGGAGCTTATGGAGGCAATTACCGGCTTTGCCTTGAGGAAAGTGGCAGAAGACGACGCCAAAGCCAAAGGGTGGTTAACTGAACTGATCCCATCCGACGACGATCGAGTTTTACACGAGGATGATGACGTCGTCATCATAAAAGAAAGCGACGTCGTCCGAGCAATGGAGGAGAAAGAAGAGGAGGTAATGCAGCGCTTGGGCAAGAGACTGATAAATCATCTGGATGCTGCGGATAAGAATAAGGCTGAGGCCGAGAATCCTCAATCTTCCACTGTGGGAGAAGCGTCGTCGTCGGGGACTAAGAAAGATGAATGAAACTTGTTTTCTTTCTCTTTTTTTTTATGATGTAATGACAATTTCCTATGATTAATGAAATTTAATGTTTTGGTTTTATGTTTTGTGAATGTGTTATTTTGACATTTATTGTATCAAGTCAAAACACGTCGGAGAATGATAAATGTATGTTTAATGGGTCATGCTCGTAATTACTCCGACGTGATACTTAATGCATTGTCTTGTCTTGAGTTTGGTTAAATTTTTGGCGTCGGAACAATTTATAGCTTATCCGACATCTGCAAACTCTTTATTGGAACAAGTCATAAAAGACTCGCTTTTTACTGTAAGCATTTATTGTAAGCTCATCAAATTAACGTCGGGATTTGATATTATAGAGCATAAGCCTCCCCAAACCAACTTCGGGGCTTGGAAGTATCCGGCTTTGTTGCGTTTGGCCAGGTCATACCAACTTCAGGGTATGAAACACGTTTTAGCCTTAGCAACGAGGATCGATTTATTGTGATCTGAGTGATCGAACAAATTATAGAGGTTCGTCACACAAACTTTATTGATAACAAAATATGGTTCTTGTACAGGAGTAGGACAAAAACTTTTTACATGTCAAGAACAGAACTTTGGTCTTCAAGCTTACTGGTAGTACTTCTTCAGATAGGTTGTGTGCCAGGGATATTGAAGGGGAACACCATCTAGAGTTTCGAGTCGGTAGGTACCATTAGAAATCAGACGATTTACTTTAAAAGGTCCCTCCCACTTCGGTTGTAACGGGCCGACATTGGCCCCAGTGACTCTTTTCAGTACAAGGTCCCCTTTGACAAATGAGCGTGGCTTGAGTCTTGAGTTGACGTACTTTTCACTACGCCGTTTATAAGCGGCATTTCGAATTTCAGCATCAGCCCGTAACTCATCGACCAAATCGAGATTGGCTTTCAAGTTTGCCGAGTTAGTTTCTTCAGAAAAGTGAGTGACCCGATATGTCGGAGAAGCCAGTTCAACCGGTATTACAGCTTCAGTCCCGTATGCCAACGAAAATGGAGTTTCTCCAGTCGAGTTTCTTGTTGTCGTTCGGTAGGACCATAGGACATAAGGTAACTCATCAGGCCATGATCCTTTTGCGGTCTCGAGCCGAGTTTTTAGACCATTCTTGATAATCTTATTTACGGCTTCTATTTGTCCATTAGCTTGTGGATGGTAAGGTGACGAAAAGAAGTGCTTGATGCCGTAATCTTCACAAAAGCTTTCAAATCGCTTCCCTTCAAACTGGCGACCGTTGTCGGTTATGATGAAGTTTGGTACTCCAAACCGACAAACGATTGATTTCCATATAAAATCGATCATCTTTTGTTCTGTGATGGTTACAAGAGGCTCGGCCTCAACCCACTTAGTGAAATAATCGGCAGCTAAAATAGCAAACCGAACACCTCCTTTTGCTGTTGGAAGTGGGACGATCAAATCAATTCCCCATTTTGCAAACGGCCACGGGCTATAAATTGACTTGAGGAGTTCAGGATGTTGATTAACGTTAGGGGAAAATATCTGGCATTTGTGGCATCTTCGCACCCAGTCTGCGGCATCTTTTCTGATAGTCGGCCAGTAGTAGCCTTGCCGGAGAATCTTGTGGGACGAAGCTTGAGCTCCCTGGTGAGTACCGCAGACCCCTTCGTGTACTTCTTGAAGAACTCGTTGAGCGTCAATCTCTGACAAACACTTAAGCAATGGAGTAGAGTACCCACGCTTATATAACATTCTCTGATCAATAGTGAAATGAGCAGCACGAACACGAAGAGCGCGAGCTTCTTTCGGGTCTTCAGGTATGGCCCCAGTTTGAAGATAGTCGACGATCGGATCCATCCACGTCGGATTTGAAGTTGGTGGGGTGGCGTCAACCATGACGACATCGGTAGAGACTGTTGATGAGGTCGTCTGTTGAGTAATTTGCACGAACTCGACATTATTCAAGTCGGTCGATGAGGCCAAATGTGAAAGAGCATCTGCTTGAATGTTGGATGACCGAGGTATATTCCCCAACGTCATTTTAAACCGTGTCAACTTCTTCTTTACGAGATCAAAATAAGGCAACAACCGTGGTTCTTTAACTTCATAAGTACCATTGATATGGCTGACTAGTAACTGAGAGTCGGAAAATATTCGGAGAGACGAAACATTCATGGATTCAGCGAAGCGTAGGCCTGATAAGAGGGCCTCGTACTCGGCTTTGTTGTTGGTGGCCGGGAAGGTGAATGCTACAGAGTAGCAAAACACTTGCTGATCAGGACTAACTAAGACAATCCCTCCTCCAGCTCGTATAGCGGTGGACGATCCATCGACGTAAAGAGTCCATGTTGGATCTTCAATGGATGCACTGACAATTGGAGTAAATTCAGCAATGAAGTCAGATAATACTTGAGCTTTGATAGCGGTTCGTGGTCGGTACTGAATATCAAACTGTCCCAATTCTATCGCCCACTTAATCATTCTTCCCGACGTGTCAGGTCGGTGAAGGACTTGTCGAAGAGGGTATGTCGTAAACACGATAATTGAATGTTCCAGAAAATATAGGCGCAGCTTCCGCGCAGCGATGATCAGAGCAAAGGCTAACTTCTCCATATGTGGATATCGCAATTCAGCGTCATGTAAGGCCTTGCTAACATAATATATCGGGAACTGTTGAAGCCCATCTTGTCGTATAAGAACAGCACTAACAGCAACGTCACTTACACCAAGGTACAAATACAGAAGCTCATCAGGAAGTGGCTTCTGCAATGTCGGTAACCGTGAGAGAACTTCTTTGATGTTGTCAAAAGCATTCTGACAGTCCATGGTCCATTCGAACGGTTTCTTCTTTTTGATAGCGTCAAAGAACGGCTTGCAATGATCTGTAGACTTTGAAATGAATCGATTGAGAGCTGCCAGTCAACCAGTTAAAGCTTGGACACCCTTGATAGATGTTGGGGGAACCAGGTCAAGTATGGCTTGAATCTTGGCGGGATTGGCCTCGATCCCTCTCTGACTCACCATGTATCCTAAAAACTTCCCTGATCCAACTCCGAAAGTACACTTCTTGGGGTTAAGCACCATAGAATATTCTCGGATAATATCAAAGACCTCGGAAAGATGGGCGATGTGATCAGAGGCCTGTTCCGATTTCACTAACATGTCATCCACATAAACATCCATGGTGTGGCCGATCAAACGAGCAAACATCTTATTGACCAACCTTTGATACGTGGCCCCTGCATTCTTCAATCCAAAAGTCATCATGACATAACAATAAAGGCCTCGAGCTGAG